AACTGGAGTAAATAGTAAACAAGTCTGGGCTTTAGTCTCAGTGTCATAGATTAATTCCCTGCCATCAGTTAAAATGTATCTCCAATTATTAGGTGAAGTTTGTTAGATTACCCTGTAAATTAAATTAACATTTCAGCTATAGCAACCATGATAGCAAGTTACCCTGTAATCACAAATAAAGACATCAAGGTATTCAGTCTTCATCATTAAAGCACCGATTCCTTCTTATTATAGTGTGCAAATATATTCTTAACTTAAAATGTGATGATCTTTTCTGGGGAAAAAGGAAGCAGACACCAAGATTTTCGTTGCTGGAAATATAAGCATGTGCAACTTGTTACGTAAGTAACATCTTGCAAATGAACATGATCAAAATTCAATGGTAAATCAGTCACCTGTAATTTTAATTTCTTCTCATCTCAACACCTCTCAGAAAAGCGAACCTGGCTATTGTGGAAGAGGAAATTCTGTAACATTCTTTTGTCACACAGAGCCTCATTTAAGGGTCAGTTTTAGCAGCAGTTTTGACAGCAATAGGTTCCATAGTTGTACTATTCTAACAGTCAGAAAACTTGTTGACATTCAACAGAAACCTGGCTTCCTGTAACTTGAGCCTGTTATTCCATGATTGCATGAAAAAATGTATACTAAAGAAAACCTTAAATTTGATTGCTAGCACTATCAATGTGTCAGCTCCTACAAGGAGCTCCTGCATGACCCAACTTTTCCATTATCTTCAGTGATGGGGGCAATGATATGCATATAGGGAGGATGCATGAGAGCAGTATGTGTGTAGTAAAGGATATATTGACACGAAGAGTCCTTGAACTAAGCTGCTTGTCCAAAACACACCTCTAGATCATGGGTCCTCAAACTAAGGACATGCCCATTTATCCGGCCTGCCATGCCCATTTGGTCCCACCGCACGCCTGTGTGCACACCTGCCGCCGTCCACCTCGCCCCGTGCACGGGGAGGCAGTGGTTTGCTTGCTCAGAGAAAACGATCTCCAAGCGAGCAAGCCACTGCCTCGTGCGCTCGCCTCACGGTGCGTGGCTGCCCCCGCTTCGCCTCCCCTCGCCACCCACGCCTTGCCTTGTCACGTGTGCTCGACCGCACGCATTGCCCCCTTGCTGGCCCATGCACACTGCTGGCACCACCTTTCCGGCCCACACGCCCTGCTGGCACCTTTCAACTGGCCCCCTGGTGAAAAAGTTTGAGGACCCCTGCTCTAGATGTTTTGGTTTACAATTCCTGTCATCCCTCACCATAGGCTATGCTTTCTAGAGCTGAGGAGAGTTGTAGGTCAAAACATCTGGAGGGTCACAAGAAGTGTATTTTCTAAGCAGCAAGTGTTTTTCTACACCTTGGTATCAAACTGAAGTTAGAGTACAGAATAATGTATAATTTTCTGTGGAATAAAAATTAATTGGCCAGAACAAAAATATAACTAAATTTTAACTTGAAATGTTTTCCTTTAGCCAGATGAACACTGAAATGGAACTGACAGTAGCAGAAAGAAGAGATTAATAAACTACCTGACCATAAAACCCAGACTCCACTGCCTTTGACCCATGACAGTTTTGGATGACATGGAAAGAGAACACTTTTACTGGATGATTGCTCACCAGAATTTAATATTCATGGAGAAGTGTAAGAAAGTCAAAAGGGTGGAAGAACTAACAAGAAACAAGAGATATTTTCAAAGGATCACCTTGACTAAGAAAATCACCCTTACTGCTTGCTCACTCCTCACGCAGAGTGAATCCTAGAATTCTGTTCTCTAATGGAAGAGAAGGGAAAGTCATTTTCCCCCAAGAGTGTAACTTTCAAACTCTGATTTATTGAGAAAGCAAGCAGCAAATACTGAAGACACAATTTTTTTCTTCTTAGGTTTCGGGGTCTTTGATGGATTTGGATGAACAAAGAATAAGCTGAAATGCTCCTCACAAACCTGAAACAGGAAGGTTCAGAACTCTAACTGCTGTGTCAGTCTAAGCCACTATGAGGGTTTTAAAGTCAAACAATGGAGTAAAAATGCCTTAACTATACAGGAAAAATGAAATGGGTAGAGATGTGGAAGGACAAATGTATACCTGCATGCTGTCTTATGTGTGGGCAAAAGTAGAAAAATACCAAAAAGGTCTACTGTGCCTTGTTATTTTTCACGGACCAGAAGACGATATCCTGGTCATGACTGACTGAACTGTCATGTTTGGCCAACTTGGGATCCAGCCATCTCCAAAACCCAGGAGGCCTAAGTGCACTAAAGTACAGAAAAAATAAGTAACAGCTTTTGGGTTTTCCTGCCTACTCATTCAATACAACCTTCTCTGCATGATCTGCCCAAGATGCTCTATCTGATCTTCAGAATAAGAGATTCACATGACTAAGATGGGAAAGTGGGATCCTGCTTTTTTCCTGTCATTTGCTCCATTTACACTTGCCTTTTTTTGGTTAGTATTAGGTTAACCTATTGGGCAGATTCGCCCACAAATGACCTGCTTTGCATATGACAAATCATAGGTTGACACTACGTGTGAATCCAGAACTATGGCTTGTTAATCATAACCAACCCATGATTTCTTGCTGGTTGTGAACTGTGCGTGGCTAACCCAAGGGTTTACATTACTTACTAACCAGGCTTATTCCTGTGTTGTTTTTCTAGGCAAAGAGGTGGCAGGCAAGAATTTTTATTTACCCCCGCCAAGTATTTGTGCATGCCACTAATGGATGCCACAAAGGAGTTTGGAATAAAAGGAGCAAGCAGGCAAAGGAGAATGAAAACCAGAGAAAATAACCCATAATTTGTTCAATTGTCTACCATTCATATCTGAGGTAGGGCAACATATCATTATCGAAATAAACCATGAGTTATCATTATGCGTAAGCCAATCTAATAACTGCATTATAGTAAATTTATGTTAACAAGAAATTTGCAGTGCTGCCAATACTGGAGTCTTTAAGTTAGCAAGTCTTGAAGTTATTGCCTATATATAACATATTGTCACATGACTGCTGCAGTGTTACTAAGGCCCACATGACAAACATATTTGGCACAGAGAACACTGAAGCTAATGCCAGATATAGTGACAGGAGATTGCAGTCCAGAAGCTAATAGGAGCCTGGTACTTGATGTCAGCAGAGGAATGCATTTATAAGAAAGCAAATGGGATAGGATTGGGTGGGCAAAAAATTGTGTTCAGAAAAGAGAAAACATTGCTGTGCATATGCATCTTGGCATAGTAAGACAGCCAGAAAATAATTATTTCAGAAGAACTTGCAGAAGAGAAAATAAACCCACCTCTCCCCAAGAATGCTGCATCATACTGAAATTATCTATCAATATGTCAGCCATTTTTCTAATACTACTCTCTATATAAGTATTAAGTTGATAGTGTTGGAGACATCCCAACATGAAGATATATAGAATACTGGGAGAGAAGGGAGGTAGTACATGAAATCCTCTCACCTATGTTTGGACTGAACACATTCTGAAAAACTTGGAGAATCCTATCTCCACTATTGTATTGCTAACTGGAGGCAAAGGGATTTTACAGGAAAATATACCTATGTAATAATGAAGATGACTATGCACATTATATTATTGCAATCACATTCCAAACCAATATTTTGCACAATTCTATCATTCAAAGGGAAGCAATGTGGCCAGATCTGTGTAGAGCAATAGCTGCCAAAATGCACTTTAAAATTGTATATATTAGTGAAAGCAGGTTGCAAACAAGATTGTTTTACCAAAAATGGCAAAAATAGAATGGCAAGAAAACACATCTAGAATCCTGTCAGAAGAAGAGATAACATACTTTTCAGATTTGTATTTATTGAAACGAAGTTTCCTATATAGACAGACAGACAAGTCAGAGGTTTCACATGTATACCATATATGGATATATTTACCCTTTTGATTTTAAAACTATGACAATCTGGAAATGGATAGGTAATGACCAAAAAACCAGAACTGCATGTATTTATGGGCTGCCTTTTCATCTCATCATAATATTTAATGTTTAATTTAATAATTGACTACTTGACATAGTGTCGTGAATCTTTGCAAGGTATAAATTAATAACAGATCTTCCTAGATTTAATAATGTATGGTTTTCCTATGTAAAGTAAGAATTTTAAGATTGCAGTGACATTAGCCTGGGGTTATATTAGGTTTACAGACAAGTGTGGAATAAGACAAATGCACTGTCTCCCACTAAACATTACTTAACTTTGTCATTATCAAAGCTGTATATGTTTCAAAGCACATAATACTGTGTGAATTTCACCCCCCTGCCTCTCTTACACACACAATTCATGACAGCAATCAGTATTTTAAATGTATCTAAAATTTATTGTGGGTTGGATTTTGCCATAAGAATACAGTTCACAAAATCCCAACTGTATGCTTTAATCCTTTTTGACTGCACTAGCAACACAAAGTATTATGCACTAAAAAAAAGCAACTTGTCCTCCTGTGTGTGTGTGTGGGGAATATATATATATATATATATATGGTGGAGCATCAGTAACCAGATAGTATTCTCAAATTTCAGTGATCTAGTCAGCGGAGCCTTCCCCCATGTACTGTGCTCTGTTTCATGTGGTACATGACTTTAGCTGGCCAAATCTTTTTCCCCCCACTGAATCAGTAGAACAGTGAAGATCTTACTCTCTCTCTCTCTGTCTCTCTCCCTCTCTCCCTCTCTTTTAGCAGTGGCATATCAATGAGGCACAGATGTGTATTCCAACTCTGCATGGATGAGCACACTGTTCAATAGTGCTGGCTCATACGGTATCAGGGCAAGTTATCACTTCCCATGAAGGCACTCTTATCACCAGGGCCCAGAGAGGTGGCTGCAAATCGCAGCCTTTTTATTTTCAAGGCAGTTTTGCTGAACATTCAAGCTTCAAAGATTCACACTTCCAAAACTCTATAAGAGTTTGTGAACGCTCAATTTGCCAAAACTGTTTACAGTGTAATTGGGCACCGTACCTGTGTCCATGAGATAGCGAAGGCGCTTCTCCACCAGCGCGGCACGGGTGTCAATTTGCTTTTGCTCATTCTCTAGTGCTGCCAATTCTCCTACAACATACTGACTGGTGTCTTTGAACCCTTTCTGTTAAAGAGAACAAACAACAAGAAAATACATCACTTGTTAAGTTGTATTTTTCCTTTGCAAAAACACTCAGTAAGGCACTTACTTAAATATCATGCTTACCACCAAAACAGGAAACACAATTCATAAATCTCACCCATTTGCCAAATTTCATTGTGAGGTGTTCTATATTAAATTATCATTCCTTGAAGGTTGGCTTTACAGTTTTCAAGCTCTTCACTTACTTTTACAACTCTATAGTTTTCTTTTAAACTTGTTTCACTATAAAATATACCATATGAGCTCAGAGAACAATCAAAATGAAAGGCTTTTACATGATACTTAGTCAATGAAGCAGCTTTTTTGCCACAATGCAAAAAAGACCCCAAAATGTTTTGTTATTTTACATAGCCAATTTTCAGCTATGGTATTCTGATATTGTTTACTGTACAATAAACAATTGGGAAAGTTCAATGAAGAAATATTGGAAATGTAAGTAAAAAGTCAACAAACAAATCAAATCACTGTGAAGAACAACTTGTTTTGTGTGTTTATGCTCTGTGTAAATAGTAATGGTGACACTCTACAAAGGCACCCTGTAAAAACTTATCTTGGATTCTCTACCACCAGTATCTGAAATTAGTACTGTTGTTTACTATTTTTATCCTGACAAGTGGTGATGAAATTGATTTATACACATTCTGGGGCATAAAATCTAAAAAAGGAAAAAAAACACCCCTCTGCAGTCTGGTTTTAGTTCATTCCGATTTCATAGGGATGCAATTATAAACTTTCTAAGGGCCTAAACCTATGGCAACCTGATGTTGTGGGGTGGTGGTGGGTTAGGATTATTCAGACTTTCACTCTGAGCTTCTGGGACCTTGGAGCTGAGATTCCAAATGGGGAGACTCCTGACCTGCACGCCTCCATTCAGCCAGCGCAGAACGAATTGTGCCATTGGCCTTGGAGGGGACTAAAACGGTGTGCTGGGAGGGGAGGAGGGTGTCCCAGCCTCCTTCCCTCCCCTTCCATGGCCCTTCATCGATATAGTCAAAATAACCATCTGGATAAACAGAGGCTCTGATACGCAGGGCGCTGGAGACTGCCAGCACTGCACCTTTCATCTACACATACACCTTGCTTTTGGAGGCTTGCATGCACTGAGGGTGGAGGACATTGTATCATGGCCGGAATCTTTCATACAATAAGTTACCAAGAATGCCATTAAAAGGAGAGGTAGAGAAAAAGAAAAAGAAAATGAACAGGAATATTTAAGTTTTGAAGATGAATACTATTCTAAAAACACACAGCTGATCTTCCAAATCTTCTGGAATAGTAAAGAATGCATGATGCATGCATTTTTAACGCTAACACTGAAAACCAGCATGTTAGCTGGGGATGTTGGGAGTCATTGTCCTACTGTCTGCTATAAAGGATAATTCTTCAAATTATGTTCTAGCTGGATTCATTTCCTTATTTATTAGAATAAATCTTAGTCTAGAGTAGTGTTTGGGAAAACAGAGGACTCAAATTTTCATATGCAGCTGAGGTTCTGCTTTGGCAGTGAGCAGTCAGGATAGGAAAAGAAGCACTACATCACAGAAAAAGCCTTCTTGATTTATTTTGGAATTACCAGTAAGCCTCTAAGGACCTTGATAAATGTTTACTGAGGCTAAACTCAAAAGCTCATTGGAAATTTCTTTCTTTTGCTAAGGAATGTATACTTGATATTTCATTTGAGGAAAGATAAAAATATATTTGCTTACTTCTGCTTCACTTCTTGCTGATGAGACAACAAGCGACAAATAGTTTGCAACACTGAGTTTTTGTTCCCTCAAATACTAGCAGAATGACTCAATATAGGAGTTATTATTAAAAACTGAGATAAGGGTAAGGCTCATCAGGTGGTACCTCTCTCAGAACCAATATATTACACAGATGTTTTACTAACAGGCAGGCAAACAAATTTATGTAAACACTTCTTCCTGCTGCAACAAGCAGAAGCATCAGCTCTAACAAGATGCTGTGTCCCCCAAGCCAATTTCGTCGTGGTAGTCTCTCTCTCTCTCTCTCTCTCTCTCTCTCTCTCTCTCTCTCTCTCTCTCTCACACACACACACACACACACACACACACACACACACACGTGTGTGTGTGTGAAAGAGAGAGAGAGGGAGGGGAAGAGGGAGTGGGGGTGGGGGGAAGGCCAAATCTGGATGGAGGAACGATAATGAAAGCTAACTGTCTAAAAACTTTTGTGGTTAATTGAAAATAACACAACACTTTGCCAGTGCAAATTCTCTGGACTGTACAGAGTATTAAGATTAAAAATAATGCTGCGTCAGGATGAAACTTCCCAAGAGTTCATATGTACAATTTGCATATATATTATGAACTTGCTGAGCAAGACCTCTTCAGCTCTATTAAAGTACAACTGGTCTTAAATAATAATAAAAAAATTATCAGCTGGCAAACGCTAAGACATGTGGTCATTTAGTACAAGAACTGGGGCACAAGCATTAGGGCACTGGCACTGACTTCCATAGCAAACGGAAGTACACATTTAGACAAATGGTGAAAAGCAACAAATTATGTGGTGCCTCCAGACAAAATAAAAAACAACCCCCACCCCAAGGAATAAAACATATTCAGATCAAAACTTGTTCTTCCCGCTTCTGTCCCGCAGCTGTCCATCAAAAGCAGCTTTCTCCCTGCGGTCTATCAAATATTTCCCTCACAAATCAATTTTACACATGATCAGCCCATACCCCTACTGAGCTGAACCTCCCCGTTAATTAAGTGAAGAAATTACCATATATATTATATTAATGCAAACATCATTCAGCTAGTAATTCACGGCTGATCTGGATAATGGAAAGGTTGAACACCCATTAACCCAAGCCAACAAAATGGGTTGGCTGAGAAATTCTAGCAGGTCTCATGTGACTTTTTCCTCTAACTGCAGCTCTGCGGTATCTGCTATTGTAATAATTAAAATCCTCCCGGTAGATCAATACTGGAATCTCTTTATGGGAAGTGCCCTGATGGAAATGTCTCAAGGAAGCTGGAGCTGTGGAACTCTGAAAAATTCATTTTTTTATCTGACAATTATCACCACGCTGCAGACTAATTCAACAGCGCACCCCTCTCACTCTGCTTTGAATGCACTGGAGATTGACATCTAAGAAAACCTAACATCTCATTTTAACAAATAAAGGCACTATTTCCACATACAGTTGAGAATTATCAGCAATCATGAAACCAGACAAAAAATTAATATACATTAAGCACTTCATCTTCTGATGGCTTCCTCTGAGTTTCAGTTATCGCTGCCTTCTCCTCATTTCCTCTCTTTGTATCTTCCTGTATTGATCTCTGCCTTTTCATCTCTTGAAAAAAAGAGAGGAAAGACATGTAAAATTATTATAATACTTGATATTTGTGTATTGAGATGTGGACTTACATTATCTGGTTTTTAATATATTTATTGTTAAATATTATTAAATCATAAGGCAGGGAGGGGGAGCTTTTGAGCACATTTTTGCCTACCTGGTCTGTTTTCAACATATTGACTGAATGACTGAAGCTGAGTTTTTCTGACTGTGGAGTCCTTGCTGAACACAACAGGATTTCTAAAGCGGTCTGTTGCTTTTTGTAATCGCTCAGCACGATGTTCTTCTATTTCATTCTGTCAGGAAACAAAATAATACATCAAATTCTTTTGTTTCTGAATGTGAAGTTAGACATGGAAAATACATATTTCAGGAAAGGCACATAGCTCTGATTACTGCTTGCATCAGATAAACTAGAAACGTATTTCACCTTTAAAACTTTTTTGCAAAATAAGCTCCTTGGATTATCCGGTTAGCAACTTCAGCCAGGGTTCTGCTGCTAGACACCAGGAACAGTTAACTGCCTCCAGTGTTTCTTTGGGCAAAGTGGGGTTTAAAGGAAGGCTACCCTTCTCTAACCTGGATTAACTGTACAAAGTGCATCTATTAGGGCTATGCATCACTGTGTACACTCCTTGATGTTAAATAGCACTGTGACTCTAGCCTTTTCGCACACATTCTTTGCTTGAGGAAAGAATACTGTTGTCCTGAATGCACCTATAGACTTTTATGACAAGAAGAATCAGTTTCTAATTTTACACTCATTAAAATAAACCATTAAGGCTGGGTGAAGGATAAAAGGTAAGAACAGAATACTACCCCAAAGAACTGCATTTCACCAGCTATAACTTTCTGAATCCAGATTTCTGAGCAAGCCTTTTAAGCTAAGAAAACTACAATTACTATTTTCCAGAGCATCCTATGTTAATATCAGTAACACATTTAAATGGGTCTATCAACATGAAATATCCCAGAAGACTAAACCACTGTAGTGTGTGGAAACTGCAGATACCGAGGTGCTGTGTACCAAACAAATATTTCATTTTATACCTAATCTATTATTATTTTTATTAAGTGTTTTGAAAGTAAATAGGGAAAGGCTAAGATGCATGACTAATAGCTAAGCCTGCTGAATGCTGAAACTGGTTATCAAAAGCAACCAAGACTTTGCCCTTCCTCTGCATTGAGACAATTGGTAATGAGGGAGTTCTCCAATGGCCTATTCTCTAGCCTCAAGGAGGCCTGGGATACAGAATCCTCCAGGGAAGGTAACAGTTTATCCTTTTCCACAAACACAGAATGCCTCATTTATAAATGTGTAAACTGCATTTTATTAAAAACACAAATCCAACTCAATGCAGAAAGCTCTAAGAGAACAGATGGACACCACACATTTTTTCTTACAACATTAAAAGTGTTTAGACCTAGCTACCCATTATGTTGCAGTAACTTAAAAAAAGAAAAGCACCACTAATTAATACAGAAGTGTGTATTTAGAATAAGTACCATTTTTATCACTTTAACTAAATTGAATTGTCCTAATAGAGGGGCCTGGTGTGCCATTTTATTTCTTTAAAACATCACTCATGTTAAAATTGTTTTTTCAACAATCAAATTGCTATGATTTTGCTTTTCTGAGAAAAGGATCTCTTCTAGCTGTTCATACAATAGCCATCTGACAGTCGAAATGCGGGTCTTTACCAAAATAAACAAACATAGCTAATTTTTTAGGCCTGGCAACATGTTAAAATATCAGTGCGATTAGCCAGTAAATCCCATTTTAAGAAGCCTTTTTATGACTAGGGACTTCTGCCACTTTACAAATGTATTCCTCTAAGCCCACTAATTCAGTTAGCCTTTTCAATCCATTGTATTATTCTGAGGCCAGCTTCATTTTGCATTAAATCCACTGCAGAAAGCTAAATTGAACGCAAAAAATCAGACTTGATCCAAGCTTCCCTTTGTTCAAAGATAGAGACTGAAAGTCCTCTGCTGCTGCCACACACTTTCATCACCAATTTATCGGAACCGACAGTGTAAGGGAAAAAGCAATGAAAGTCATTGTTTTGGGACTTCAAAGCATCTCTGTATCTGGGGGAGGAAATCCTTTCAGTCAGCAGAGTATACACCCAGTCTGCAGGTGGGTGAAAAGTTATACATAAGTGGAACTACCTCAATAGCCCTCAAAATCTTTTTAGTGTATACTAATGAAGACAATAAACCAATAGGATGCACAAACACATATAGCAACATCTGTTTGTATACAGAGAGTGACTGAGCATGAAAAAAACAAGAATCCTTCCTTCCCCAAACTCCACCCCACAATATGTCAGAATTTCTTCACTGCTTACCAAGTATGAGGCACAAATGTACCTCTCATAATACTTGTCTCAAATACACGTTCTTGTTTCCACAGCAATTTGATTTCAATAATGCAACACCAACACAGCAACTGTTCAAAGAGCCTTGAAAGAAAGCACTGCCCACATTTATGTAAATGAGGGAGTTGGCCAGGATAATATGCTTACTTCCTGTACCTCAATAAACTGGTGATTCCAGAGACTAGCTCAAATAAGGAATATTAAAACAGTTTAGCACATAGTGGGCAGAGTACCATCAAGCACAAACTAAGAGAAGTTTTATTTGTTAATAAACCAGGCAAATGCTACTGCATTATCTCTATACAGTTGTTAAACATACATAAGCAATCACGTAACATTTAACATGGAAGGAATTAGGGTTCTTTTCACCATGAAGGACAATGCAAAACCCAGAAAGCTCAGAAACTGACACAACAACTTAATTCAAAACTTACCTTAAACCCTTGCACAGTGTTATCAGTAATGGCCTTCTGAGCAGCATTTGAAAGTGAATTTGCTACCTGTGGCTGAGCTTCCAGGAGCATCTTCAGTTTCAAATCCACCAACTTGCTGTTCTGTTCCACTAAATATGCAAACAGAATGAGAGAGAGAGAGAGAGAGAGAGGTATTTAGATGTAGAGTCATTATAACAATGTATCCATCAATGCATGGTTCCAATTGTAATCTTTACATTGCAACTGAGATAGGAATGCAAAACATAAGGTATCAACCAAAGCAAACTATTTACATTACAGCAATAGTTATTTGCATAATTCTTGGAAGGGACCCTATGTATTTTAAAAGAACTAACTCTTAATGACTCCTCTCCATACCTTCTCTTCTCAGTTCCTTTAACTATGCTATTGAGAACGAACATATTGTTAGAGATGTAAGCCATACTGATTTCCATGGAGCTTCTTCACAAATACATTTATTTAGCATTACAAGTAATGCATGACTTGCATCAACATGGTTGGCTATCAGTTTATTTGCTTGATCTATACCCTACCTTTCTACCACTGAAGGCTGCACTCTAGTTACTCACCTTTATATAAAGGACACACTTTTGTCCTAATGTTAACCATGTTTACTTGAAATTAGTTCCACTCAGTAGAACAAGCCTAACTAAGCTTAAGATCACACACTTCATAAAATGTCAAATTGCTGTTATTAGAATCCATTATGTTTTAAACATTGGGTTAAGTTCATATGCATACCTTCATCCTATGAGTATATTTCTATAGGAAGCTTTTGAGACAGCATGGGTCACTTAAAAGTGTATTTTTAGGAGGTGGTTTTAGTGCTTTTATACTGTGGATTGGAGAGTGAGGAAATGGGAATAGTGCTATTCAAAAAAAGATATTTATATTTAATATTAAAAGTGTAGCCTGTCCAAACAGTCAGTGCCTCAGGGTAATTTACAATCATAAAGCCAAAACAAACAAACAAACAAATAAGAATATGCTGACACAGGGAGAGCAGGTTAGGTCAGAGTTTAGCTTTCTCTCATTTATCTACTTACAGAAGCTATAGTGTCAGCAAAGGAAGTCATCCTTGTCTAAAGGTTCTGTTCTTTAATGCCAGGACAGTTGCTGAAAAACCAACACTCCTCTAGGATTTCTGAATGAAGATGTGGACCCGGCATATATTATGAATACCTGGCTGAGCGAAGAACAGGGACTTCTTTTCTCTGCCATCTCTGTCTGCCAGTTATTCAGTACAGCAGACTATGATTGGGGCATGGAACAGAGAGTTGGAATGACAGCAGTCTATAGGAATTCTCTGTGGTTAACCAGATGAAAAGAACTTGAAACTAATCTGACCAAACAAGAGTAAAAGTCCACTTAAAGATCGATACCATGCTGGTGAAGAGAGTGCTGTTATCTGCACAGACTAATTGGCAATGCTTTTCATATTGTACAGGACCTATACAATGTTTCAGATGTTATGACAGCCAATGGCTGATAAAGGTAATTTAGCTAATTATGTCTCATGTTTGTAGAAGTAAAATAAAATCTGCATTATTTTCTGTGATAATGCCAATCAGTGGAAGGAGAAATCAGTTCGGGCTCAGGGGTAGCGATGTGTGCATCAGCCTTTTACCTCTTTGCTGCTTTCGCATGATCCTACCTGCCCCAGTGATGTGGTGCTGATTCAATTTCCCTCCCACACATCAAACTTTTCCTAAAATAAGCTGGCGATCTGGTAACAGATGTCCTGATATCCTGCACAGTTGCACCCTCTGATTAAAATATCCCATGCTGGAAGAATATGGGCCTTACTCTTTAAAAAATAAAAAAGAAAGACAACCTGCAATGATCCACTGAGAATTTGTTGTCACATGCTGTCAAGTCCTCTCTGGCTTATGGCGACCCTGTGGATGAATGCCCTCCAAAATGTCCTGTCCATGAAACCCTTAACGTTCCATTGTGAATGGTGTCATTAAACCAAGCGCAGTGGCAAATGGTGATAGCACTAAGCAGTGGAGAAATGGGAACTATCACAGTGCAAGTATTAGGTGAACTGGCAACTCACAGCTGTCTTGAATTCACTAAGTGGCCTTATGTAAACCAAGCTCTCTGAGCCTCGACTTGCCACCCTCCCCATTTTCCATAAAGGGTGTAGTAATACTAAGCTACTACAGCTTTGTAAGGATTATTGAGAGAACCTCTGTGCAACATTTTCAATATTTAAAGTACTATTCCATTAAAATCACATGATTACATTTACAGGCCATTATCTGAAACCAAAGACAAGGTTCAACTTCTATATAAAAAAACCTGAAAGTCAAGACGACAATAAAAAAGAAAGAGCCTGCGGGCTTAATCACACCTTTCTGGATGTTTGAGGAACCCAGGAAAAAGCCTGGTAGGTCACTACCTACCAGAAATATTGTAATGTGCAATATGTGGGTCTCCCTTTGCAGACAGTCCTGAAACTGCTGCAGACTGAAGCTGCCCCATATTGGTAGAGGCCAGGCAGCTGATGCGACTTTGATGCTGTGCCAACTGCACTGGCAGTCGGCTTGTTTCCAAGTCCAATTTAAAGTGCTATTTTTAACCTTTAAATCTTTAAATGGCTTGGGCTCCACTTGCTTCCATATCAACCTTATCACACTTTGAGATCATCAGCAGAGGATCTTCTCATCTGCCTACCACCAAGGGTGGCTAGGCTGGTGAGTACAAGAAAGGGCTTTCTCAGCAGTGGTCCTGCACCTCTAAGATCACTGGGGGTTCATCACGCCCTTTTGACAGGGCTTCATGAAAAGTCTCAAGACCCACCTATTTTTACTGTTCTTCCTGCAGTGTCCCGCACTGCTGTTTTTTTCATGGTACTATCTGTTTTTATTAATTTAAAAATTGTAAGCACTGTCGTGAAACTTTTATCAATTATATAGTTATTGCATTTTATAGTACCTTTTATGGTTTTTTGTCTTATACAAAGCCTTGGTAGGATGCTGCCCTTAAAGACAGTCTAGAAATAACTTTTAAAAAGTAAGATTTGAAAATGCATAATAAAAATACCCAAGATACGGTTTACAGCAATCTTACAGGTACCCAAGAAAGATCACTAACTTTCAACATTACCACTGTCCCTCTTTTCTAAGCTACGTGTGTTAATTACTAAAAGGCTTTTCCTTCAAGGAACTGTTTCTACCATTATGTTTTGAATATAGATGAACCTGATTTCAGACCAAATAATAATGAGTGCTGAAAAAATGATATTTTCTTTTTAACATGTAGGAATAATGTTTTCTCAAAAAAAGTCCAGAAGTCCAAAGTATCCCTATATTCAGATGCTTATATTATATGGTTCAGAGGCAGAAACTGTCATTTGTAATTAATGAATCTGGAAATGTATTGTGCTCAACTGGGGTAACCCCTTAAGCTCCAACATGCTGAAAGCAAACTGTCATCCTGTGTTCCAGACAGGTAACCTTGTCAGTTTGTTGCAGCAAAAACACATTTGATAGTGTGTGTCACAAGACTCTATATAATTGTTGTCATCTTCATGGCTATGTTAAATCACAATCACTATTCAAACTTATCACAAGACAGCATTTCCTATCACTGCAACCAGCTGTTACTTAACATATGGTATTGGGCCAGGATCTCAATCACCTATAAAAAGGATTGAATGGTAACCTGAATGAAATCTATTTTCTACAGCAGACGCATGAGATCAACATAAACCTAAACAAGCTTAAAGAAGTCCCCTGCTAGTGTTGACAGAAGCTAAAATACCAACGTTTTCTTGAATGAGTGCAGCACATGCTCTGAAGCTTAGGTTAAATATGACTTGGTACCAAACTGTAGCTTCCTAAGAACCACTGAAAGACTACTCAGCAAAACCAAACCAAGTCAAACCATGGGCTTTGTTGTTGCTATCATCATTATCATTATCACCTCCATCACCACCACTGCCATTATGTCACTACTGCTACTTTTAGCATGGATAGAACTGACTGAAAGAGAATGCTGCCAGAGTTACAGTGGCTGTAGCTGACTGTATCATTGATTACTCAGTTCACTGATTATTCTTGTCTAAGTGAGATGGGCAAATTCTGCTTTCTCTAATCAACAGGGAGGCTCACTTTGACCCCTACTTTAAAAGTTTTATAATCTGAAGTTAGTTTGATTTTATGCATATTTATTTGGAGGCATCCACTGGGAACTACTCCAAGCATAGGGCCCAGAATCATAATACATACATGGGGTACTGCCAATAAAAAGAAATTATTGTTGTATAGTTAGCAAAATTCAAGCAAGTGTAGAAAGCAAATGCAAAATGAATATAGATCTCAAGGTTTATTCTAAGCAGCTTTTCCCAGCTCCACAAGCTGATAGAGCCCTTCATGCCCAATGCATAAACACCTCCCAAAATCTTTATAATGGAAAAAAATAAGAGAGAGGAGAGAGTAAATGGGAATGATTAGAGGAATTAAGGGGAAAAAAGAAACAGGAAGGAAAAAGAAGAAAGGAAATATGGAGGAGGGGGAGGGGAGAAGGCAATATGAAGATGCTTTGTGAAGAATGGGTGAGATTATCTTCCTTTCCTAAACTATAGTTGAAAGCTGATTCTCCCTCTGCACAAAATATATAACTAAGCAACTGAGAACCTTCTTCTGAGATTATAATTGTGTAACTAGAAATCATCTTTTCACAAGATGGCTTGTCCTGCAAAATATGTTGAGGGTTCTGGATGGTATACTAGGGATAACAGGTTTTAAGTTGCCACAGAATAGAGGCCCCTCACAAAATGTCAGTTCAGAAACTGCAAATAGGAATGACTCCTAAGGACCTTGGGAATTAAAGCATTACACAATAGAAATGTGAGTCTGGTACTGTAACTGCTTCTCTAAGTGACAGAAGATAGAAAAGTAGGAGTTGGAGGAAAGAGTAAAGGAGAGACGCAAATAGCTGGAAGCAGAATCAGCCCATCCTGCGTTAAGCTGTCTGCTGAGGGGAGCTAGAAAGAACTCTGTGAAGGAAAAGTCATCTGTGGTCCAATGGGTCAAAGCTCAAGGAACTGGGTTTCAGGTAGGATGTTAGAAAGTACTTCCTAATGGTTAGGACCCTAGGGTATGGAACAGGCTTCCATGGGAAGTGGTGGGTGCCCCATCCAGGAAAAATTGGATAACCACATGTTGGGTATTACATGAGCAGAACTGGCTGATGCAGAAGGTCAAGACTGGATGGCCCAGGAGACCCCTTCTGACTTGTTATGTTTCTATGTTATCCAGGCTACATTTGCTGAAGAACTGTGAAGGAAGGAAGAAGTCAGTTCATGGGCTCTCGAGGAGAAATAGTGGAGACAGTAGTTAGAGCCCTGGCTGCTTTGTTAGAGAGCAACCCAGCTTTCTCTAAATCATTTTGCCTTTGGAAAGAGTTGCTTGCCAGCTAGGACAAACAGAAGGTCTGTGTCTACAGGGATACATTTGGACAAAAGAGAAAAAAAAGCAGTTACTTGGCTTTCTTTTAACCCATATGTTCAATCATTTGTTAATCCCTTGTATATCCTTCATCCCTAGAAATTTGTTGTGGTAAATCAGTTGAATGAGACTGAAAAAAATGTCAGGGTAAGGCTGTTGTACAAAAACAAACTCTCTGCAATGCTGGCTTGTACTGTCCGATGATACACCAGCACTGCCTATAGTGGCTTTTCTCGGTGACACACCTCTTTCCCCACCGTGCTGACATAGCATTCCCAAGCCAGGCTCTCATTTGCACCTAGTGATGAACCTCAAGTCTTTTCTGATAGCAATACATTATGCCTTGCTGCACCAGCAATACTCTGATTTCCCTATTCTGCCAACAATCAGGGGAAAATTGGAGAAATTCACAGTGCTGTTGGAGATGCCAAAAACACTATGTCTAAGTCAACTACATTCGATGGAGTTGCAAGTCATAGGAGTGTTATTAAATAAATTGCCAAATTAGAAACACAGAAACAGAGCGAGTCAGAAGGGACCTCCCGGGCCATCTAGTCTGACCCCTGGCTCTAGCCAGCTCCACTCACGACATGTCTACCATGTGCAATAAATTAATGAAATATAGTCCATAAGAAAATGCCTTTAAACATTTCCCTCAAAATGGGGAAGGGGGTTAGGCATAGGGCATATTTCCAGTTTCCCAACATGATAAAAGAGCACTCAGATACTTCCCATGGTAAAAAACATGGGTGCATTTACATGAATAAGGCAATTCAGAAGCATCTGGAACAATCCTGTAACAAGTGAATGAACTGTGATGCTCAAAAAAAAAAAAAAAAAAAAAAAAAAACATACAGGTTTTCTCTCTGAGAAAAGCAGTATCAAAGGGCAATGAAAACCCAGCAGAGAAAGTTGGCACTCTCTTCCTGCACATTCCTGGAGATGTGACAAAACCTAACTCTGAGTACATATTCCTTTCCTGCAGGAGGTAGTTGAATATTAGCATCTCTTATTTTTCCTATAGCAGTGCAAAATTGGTAAAGGACGAAGGTAGACTGTCAGTACTTGACTCTAAATTCTCACAAATACTTTATACACTACATTGTAAAAAATGATAGCGATAGTCTCACCAATATAAACTGGTGCTGTCCCTGAGGAGTGATGGCACTGTAGACAGAACCTGTACTGACAACATTTATATAATGATGAAAGTAGTTCCAACATCCAGGTGCTAGTAAATTTTGCAGCTGCAGTGCTAAAGGAATGCTGGATGTAGTTGAAGATGTTTGCAACAAGACGGACAGAATGCATAGAAACACAGAAACAGAGCGAGTCAGAAGGGGCCTCCCAGGCCATCTAGTCTGCATGTATTCTCCTTGGGCATAGATGGAGCATCTATCAACATAGCTGAGAAATCCGATGCATGGATTCTCTTCCAAACCAAAATGAGGGATAACGAAGAAGAATCTTCTTTCCCTCTGCTGAAGTTATGGGCGGAAAGCCACCAGTCAAATCTACAGAAACTTAATCAGTGAAGTTGGACACATGTTGTTTGCATGGCTCAGCACGTATTTCCACACATCAAGGCTCAGATTTGGAGAACTTTGGAACATTGCAGAAGCTAATATTTGCTGTCTCCTTGCACTCTCCAGGCTTCCTGAAACCAGGTGGACAGAGTTGGTAACAAAACAAAAGAAAAAACTTGAGGGACATCACTAATGTATATCTGGCAGGAAAGATGTTGGCACTATCTATAATGAAGTAGTCAACTTCTGCGCTGAGTTCTTAAATCAATACTTTGAAGTTGATGCAGATCTGTTTCTCATTATGAAGCCTTTTGCCATTTTTCAAGTTTTAGTACTAAACTTGAAAACAGTTCATAAGTATGAGCACAGACTTCAATCTGGCAAAACTGTCTCTAGTATATGAGGAAATACTTCAGATTGACAGATCAATAATGTTTGCAAAATGACATTGTCCCATTTAGTCCATTCTCTTTCATTATCCAAAGAATACAGGTATGTGATAACACTCATGGTACATCTTCTAGTCTCATAGTGCTGATGCTGAACATCTCATTAGCCAAATGTCATGCTGAAGTCCCTAACCAAGAACATGCTCTCAGCAGAGTCAGATAATGAATACTTCTACATCTACCATAGTATCCCACCTCTCACTGAACAGAATCCTAGGGCATCAGTGTTCCTATGGCTCACTAAATGAAAGCACAGAACCAAAGACAGAGCTAAAAAGGGAGCAGATACAATGTAAAATAACTTTTGTGTCTTCCAAGCAGCACTGCTCATCCCATCCAGTTCCAGATGCTGACAATCTCCAAAAAATAAAAATAAAAATAATGATGTGACAGGTGTAATGTGAGAAGACACATGAGTCATGGCACAACTATGTAATCTTCATTGAATTTGTACTACTATGTGCTACTGTTGTGTACCTAGATATACTGGTGATATGTTCATGATTTTATAAATGCTTTAAACTTGTCAAATACTTGGTTCCAATATAAGCTTCTGAAAACTGAAATAAAACAGTAATCATCTTAATATTCTCTTTCTTTGTTTTATCTTTTGTTTACCTAGTTCTTGTAAGAAACACCCTTGTTTCTTATTAGAATCCATATTCCCAATACCAGAACATTTAGTTTCCATGGTCCATTTTCCCCCCCAACTGTACCTTGGAATTAGCCCAGATACAACCAACATATTTGTGTAACTCCTGTATATGCCTTCACATTCCATTTTAGAGATATTAGTAATATATATGAAAATCTATAATTATCAATCATTTCATTGTTACTTGAAACGATGCTAATCATTCAGAGAATGGAGTCATAGAAAACTCTTAAATCAATGGGTTAGAAAGGTATCAAGCAGATAGATGTAATACTAGGCTATCATATTACAAGAGGTACTGCTGATGAAACTAGGTGTTATTCATGTAAAGGATATAAAATAATCATTAGTTGAATTACCATCAGAATCAAGGCCACTTTCTAGGTTAGTATGTTGATCTTCACCGCCAGTACCAGTGCATTCAGGAATCTCCTCATTAGTAACTATCTCAATGTGATCATTTTGATCCTCATCTGTAGGAACATGCCACAGTAAGATCAGTACTGTTTGTTTTCTACATGCATCACATCAGCGAAAACATTAGTATTTTAGTGTCAACAGAGCACAATCATCTATGGCACAGAAAAGAAAAAGGAGTTAGAATCCAGCAATTCTCTGTAGAAAAATTATACCAGTTATTTAATGAAAATATCAGTCATATGCATACAATTCATACCATAGTTTGGAATTTGCTAAGCTATGCATGTATGTGTCAAATTCAAATTTATGATTCAGACAATTGGCCATTACAACAAGTAGATATGAAGTTAAAGCTTCAATGGAGTTACAAATACTTGTTTCAGGGCTAAAATGAAACTGCACAGATTTACTGAAAGATAGGTAGGAAGGACTTGTTCTCAGAATTCATCATAAGCCAAGTTATCCTCCATAGGAAGTGCCACAGCTTTGGCCTTCATATCTTGAAATCCATGATATATTACATCCATTTGAACAAAACAAAGAGAGTTCTAGTTGGGAGCTAGTTGGTTCCCAGTAAGATATGATGGTGATGATGCCACCGCCTAAGGAAACAGTGCAGAGGAAGAGGTCTAAAACAACAGGGAGAAAAGACCTTTACTCATTATTATTATTATTATTATTATTATTATTATTATTATTATTATTAAAACATTTTTATCCGCCCCATTCGCCGAAGCCTTGGGGCGGCTTACATCACTAAGTTAAAATAATTATAATATAAATTAAAAATATAAATATTAAATTAAAAATACAACAATACAGTATAAAATAAACCGCCATGGCCAGATAAAATCCAATAATATTAACAGTTAAAATGCCGCTTAAATAAAAAGGTCTTCGCCTGGTGCCGAAAAACAAATAACGACGGTGCCAGGTGGACCTCTCTGGGGAGTGCGTTCCATAACTTAGGGGCCACCGCAGAGAAAGCCCTCCTCCGAGTACCCACACTCCTAATTTCTTTCACGGAGGGTTTCCGGAGAAGGGCCTCCCCCGCCGATCTCAAGGGGCGGCTGGGCATATATGGATGCAAACGCTCCTTCAGGTAACCAGGACCCAAGCTGTTTAGGGCTTTATAGGTCACCACCAACACTTTGAATTGGGCCCGGACTTCAATGGGAAGCCAGTGAAGCTGATGGAGAACTGGAGTCATGTGAACACAACGCCCAGTCCCCGTCAGCAGCCTGTCAGCTCTATTTTGAACCAATTGAAGTATCCGGACCGTCTTCAAGGGTAGCCCCACGTAGAGCGCGTTACAGAAGTCGAGACGGGAAGTCACCAGTGCATGTGTCACTGTCGCGAGGCAGTCGTACTCCAGATAGGGGCGCAGCTGGTGAATCAGCTGACCTTATGTGTACATAATGAGAATCGAACATGAGTGTATTTCCTCAAGGGGCTCTTTGTTGTGGGAGCCATGACCACACTGAATATTCGAGGATGCAGCAGGAATATTCGAGGATTCCCCTTACTTTTGAGGGGGGGAAAAGTGCATCTTATAGAGCGAAAAATACGGTAAGTCCAGCAAAGATAAATTATTGGCATGACTGAAAAGATACCCACAACCCTAAAACAGCCCATAGGTTCTGTGTGGCTTGTCAGCTGCCCCAACAGTCCACTCTTGTGGAATTAATATATAATGAGAAACTACAAAGTGCCTCCATTGCAGCCTGAATGTTTAAAATTGTAGTTGCCACCACAACAAGAACCCTCACAGGGAAATTCACCAACAGTAGCTTCTTGTTACGTGTGAACTGGGCCAGCGCATTATCAGCAACAGCCTTCCAACATGTGTGCACAAAATGGAGGCCAGATGGGTTTGAAAGAGAAGACACAGGCAGGAGAGTGAACTGAAAGCTGCAACCAATCCAAGTCCAGCTGGAGGGATGGAACGTTAGTTCCCAGAACTTTAAAAGAGAGGGCACAATGGGTAGGGTCTTTTCTATGTTCAGTCATCACTTGGGAGTAAATGCCTACAGTCAAACTTCCCTAAATGACTTAGTGGCCAGTAACTTCAATGCTAAAAATACCCTTGCATTATGAAGGTTATTATGGAGTTCTCAATCCAAGAACAGAATCTAGTTGCAGGCAAGCAACCAGTCTTTCTTCCTTGTAGTCTCTGTGGGCAAACAGCAAGCTCAGTAACTTACCAGAAGGAGGGTTTGTGCCCATCACTGTATGACACTGTAAGTGCAGCTTGACGAAGGGGCAGTTTGCGCAAGTCTGAACACTGAGGTGGTAACGCCTGATGAAAGTTGCCAGTTCCAGCCAAGTTCCAGAATGGAAAACAGTTGCCAATGCAATCTCCCTGCTGAACATGAAGTAGGTATTCGCCTTGGAGAGTATGTTGCCAATTTCAGGGGCAGCTATAGTTCAGCTAACTTGTATACCAGCTTTACACTCTGGACAACCCATAACACAAGTCTTTGCAAGGAGACTGGATGGCCTTTCTGTTTTCCACCATACCAAACAAATAAGCAAGGTTCTGGAAGACCCTCTTCTGTCTGAGATCAATAGAAAACTAAGGCTCCACGGACATCAAGTGCATGAATTGCCCTTTTCATAGATCATTCAGGGGCAAGGAAAAAGGATAACAATGAAATATCCTGATTTAGAGGAAAATCAGTGACAACCTTTGGAAAGAAGGCTATGTCTGGACAAAGAACAACCTTCTCTTGTGCAAAGTTACGTAAGGGGATCTAACCAAAGAGCACAGAGCTTGCAAGAATGGTGAGGTGAAAAGATTACTACTAAAAAGGTGATCTTCGATATAAGAAGATGGATGTCCAATGTAGTCATTGGTTCAAATGGTTTAACCAATAAGGCTTTCAGTATAATGGATAAACTGCACAGCAGAACATGAGTCCTGATGGGTGGTGCTGTGTTGTTAACACCTTTAGGGAACGGCTGAAGCAGAAAGAGAGAGAGAGAGAAAGAGAGAGAACAAATTGAAGAAGCACCAACTAGGCAGTGGAATGCAGCAACTGCTGCCAAACAGAACCACAAAGACAGCAGCTTCAGCCCTTTCTGAAACAGAGAGAAAAGGAGATGTAGCACATAGGGGAGTGAGCAGGTGATCAGATCAACCTTTTCAGTACTTACGAATGCTTTAAAATGCTCTCATTTAGCATTGTGCAATTTCCTTGTCACCAGTTTTCTAGCAGCAGCAAGGGGAGCCTGAAGGGTCAGAGGTAAGGTCAGCTGGTGAGGCACAGATATGCTGCTAGTTTGAGAGTCATCGTATCAAGGTGAGGGATTCATCCTTGGTTTCAAGAGAAGATATCTGGCCTGAGAGGAAATTGTAGCTAAGTTTTGTGTGACAGACGCAGGTGCAGAGTGAACAGCAGCTGCCTCATCATCAAGAAGTTATTAGTAACTTCATGGCAACTTTAGTCAGAAGGGGGAACAGATGGAACAAGTAACAAAACCTCCCTGTCCATGTGCAAAGGAAAACATTCCTTAGAGAGCCTGGGTCTATTGCAGCCTGATACAACCATCCATACATGACTTATCCTCCACCTGAGCTCCAGGTGAGGAACCTATGGACTGGGGGTGGACTGGTTAAGGCAGTTCCAGTCTGGAATCTTTTGATGTGATGATGGGAGCCCAGGGGGAACTAAGTTCCCCAAAAGTGTACTTGCCTTTTGGGGGCATTGGGTTGGAGGCCAGATGTTAGGTCCAGGATGATGAAGGAATTCTAGGATGTCCAGGATACCCAGAGCTACTGGGTCTCTGCCTGAGACAGGGGCTGACATCAGGTAGGCCTCCTAGGTACAGTCATAAGACCTATTAGTAGAGTCTCTTCTGGAAGTTGGGGCTACTTGAGTGGAGTAACATCATTTGTTTTGCATTTGCTGATCACCCTCCAGGCAGTTAGTTTCAGGATGCTCTGGTCTTGCTGCCAGGTGGGTCCCTGATGCATGATGAGAGGAAAACTGGCCTAGATACCAATGGGTTTACCAGGTCAGTGTACCACAGTTTTCTTGGCCAGTTTAGGGCCACAAGGATCACCTGGGTATGCTGATCTCTTATCTTTCTGAGCACCCTTGAAGTGAGAGAAAAGGGCAGGAAGGCATAGGCCACCTGCATGTTAAGGCATCTGTGAACTCTGCTCCTTTTGACTGGTAATGCCTTTGCATTCTGTGGGGTGGCAAAAATGATGAGGCAGGGGAGACCCAACTGCTGTGTTATTGCTTCAAAGACCTCTGGATGTAATGTTCATTCCTCTGAGTCCAGACAGGTCCTGCTAAGCCAATTGGTTAAAGACTCCCCTCAGATGCTCAGCCCCAATGGATCAGAGATGCTTCTGAACACAGCAGAACAGCTTCAGGGCTTCCCTGGAAGTGCCTTGGAGTGAGTTCCCACTTGTTTGTTCATATCTGTCATGGCCACTGTGCAGTGCATTTTGACCAGGATGTGCTGGTCCTTGACAAGAAGGGAGAAATGATGGCCAAGTAGCGAGCCCCTGTATTTTAAAGGTTTATGGACATCTGGGGTTCTTTCTTGGATCAGTGTCCCAGGGTATGTTAGCTCTGGTGGATGGCTCCTCAGCTCAAAAAGCAGGATCTGTCATAAAAAGATGTCATCTGGCTCCAGAATGGGAACATGTCCTGCCAGCTTGGCTGACTGTGATCACCAGTAGCAGAAAATAGTCACCTCCCTTAGTAAGATGACTGTCAGATTGAGGTTCAGCATGATCTTCTGGACCTTCAGAAGAAAGGTCTGAAGGGGTCTGGAGTGGAACTTTGCCCAAAGAACCAAATTGTGAAATATGTTCATGATGCCCATAAGCTTTTACAGATCTCTGAGGCTGTCTGACTGAATGGATATGGGCAGCCAGTTGTCTCACCACATACTATCTAGCTTATAAGGTTATAAGGAAAAAAAGGTTATAGTGTTCCTGTGAATATCCATGGTCACCAAATGGTTACTGAAGGACTGGGCTGGGGAAAGAGAAAGAGAGCACGTGCTCTTCATCATGTTGACCAGGAACTGTCGA